CAATTTGCCCACGTTTGGAAAACCAAGAGAAGTACTGAAGAGCAATTAACACAACTAGAAGAACTCCAAGTTTTCAGATTGTGGTGTCAAACCGATTTTATTTGTTTTTGTCGGCGTGCTAGCCGCCATTCACTGCCATCTTGAAATGAATGCTTCACCCACCAAATCTGGTAATATCTAAATTATGCCAATTTGTGATGTCAGTGACAAGTTTCAACAAGTTTATTGTTTATTTCCTGGCTTTCGCTATTTATACACTCCCATATTATATTGTATGCAAGCCTAGGTTCATGGTAGTGAACTAGTGTTTAAGAAGATGTGACAAGGAGTGGTAGGACAATTCCTGGAGCATTTTCATTTATCCGAGACAGATGGTTTTTTCATCAATACCAAAGTGATCCAGCAACACTCACTTGCAATCCTGTTGTCATTGGGCAACAAATGAAATTTTGATGTCTAACTAACTCGGAGATGGAAGCAGACATGCACATGCTGTGACAAGCTAAGGTGCAACATAACTTGTTACACAGTCAACAACAACACTGCACAACTTATTCATGAGTGCAGTGGGCATACTATCAGCTGTGAAGGGTCTGGTGCGTAACACAATGCAGGAGACATATTCTGTGACGTAGGGACCAACAGAGAGGTTCGTTTCTACAGAGATCATAAACAGCTCAATGAGTGCTTGAAAACCCTGCTGTGATGGACCATTCCCTAAAAATGTCTGTCAGGATGCCCTTCATTTTACCATGTATCACTGCAGATACAAGGACTTTGATTGAAACCACTCATTAACAGATCAAATGATCAGAAAACACTATTTGTCTCGTTTAGAACCTCTATACAATACACATTAGTGTAAGTGATTGATTAATACACAACGGAACTTGTGAGATTGCATTTTTTTCCCCAAATTCTGAGATATATTCTGATCAATATCTCACCACAGGCAATGATGAGTGAGTACCTAAATTCGTACCTCTCAAAGTCTTCTTTTTCCCTCCAAGATTATAGGGGACTACATCATCAAGTTTAAGAGACAAATCAACTACGAGGATATAAATTCCCAGCATAGCCATGAACATCTAGAAAGTAATTCAAAATATATTACATAAATATATAAAGACATCAGTAAAAAGATTGTATTGAAATGAAATTTAACCATTTTGAAGTCTCATTTAATAAGAACCACGTCATTCGTGAAATATATTGAAATACCAGAATTGTTGTCACCTGAGTGTTCATGCTAATCAGGAGTGGAGTACTGTTTGATTATAAAATCTTAAAAATTGCTATCATGGTAGACTATATACACTACATGATATGATGTCAGATATAGGTATCTTAATGTGTAATTGGGATAATACAAAGGATACAGTTGTTGTCTGACAGAAGGGTAAATATTTTTGTAAAATTAATTACTGAAAAATATAATGACTGACCTGATGAGACATTTCATAGACTTGTTGTCCTGCAAAATCTAGTAGGGTGACATCAAAGTCTACTGCATCTGTGTTTTCTACTCGTCTTATACGTTCACCAATACGTCTTAGCTTTTCAGTTCTTGATCTATCAGCAGATGCTTGCTGACTCTCTTTCCTATCTAAAGGATCCGTAATCGTACGTGATATGCTTCGAGTAGTATGAATACCTTTATTTCCGGATTCATCACTTCGTGCTAGATTGATAAAAAAATATAAATACATGCAGATGGTGTGATAAGTGATGATCAGAGCTCATCAAAATGAAGAAAACATTTTTAGTAAATTAAATGCAAAT